AACGGCGTTTTTTCGTTATGCAACCAGAAGCAACCACGGCTAAGACTATCTTCGTCTTTTGATCCCTAAAGACGAAGATAACCTTAGCCGTGGTAGCTTTTGATTGGATAACGAAAAAACGCCCAAGATTAAAACATTTTTAACAATTATTTATAAACTAGATACCTTAATTAAGAAATTCCTAGAACCATTACGAAATAGATCGCATAAACAAAAGATATCGGAATACAAAGATGTGCTTTTATCTGTTTGCATAGTAATAATCAAACACATAAAAGTTTCATACGCCAAACCTGCTCGGAAGTGTACCATATATACGTAAGAAGTACCGCGCACTCGCTTATACGGGCGATCAGAAATTTTTTACGTCTATCACAGAGGCCGATGGTGAAATCTAAAAGCGCGGACACAATGTCTGAGATCACAGACGATAGTAAAAAAGTTTCATTCGCCAAACCTGCTCGGAAGTGTACCATATATACGTAAGAAGTACCGCGCATTCGCTTATCACATACGGGCGATCAGAAATTTTTTACGTCTATCACAGAGGCCGGTGGTGAAATCTAAAAGCGCGGACACAATGTCCGCGCTTTTAGATTTTAGCGAGTGCGCGGTACTTCTTACGTATATATGGTACACTTCCGAGCAGGTTTGGCGAATGAAACTTTTTTTCCTATCGTTTGTGATCTCAGATATTGTGTCCGCGCTTTTAGATTTCACCACCGGCCTCTGTAATAGACGTAAAAAATTTCTGATCGCCCGTATAAGCGAGTGCGCGGTACTTCTTACGTATATATGGTACACTTCCGAGCAGGTTTGGCGAATGAAACTTTTTTTACTATCGTCTGTGATTTCAGACATTGTGTCCGCGTTTTTAGATTTCATCACCGGGCTCTGTGATAGATGTACGAAATTTTTAATCACAAGTATAAATTTTTTATTTTGTAATGTTTTTAGAGATTGTGTTCGTATCTTTATCTTTTGTTTTGAAACGCTTCGACATATGCTTGTAATTTTTGGTCACATGTATATATGAATGATCGTCGATTGTTTCGCTTCAAGAACGATCGAAACTTCAACTACATAGCCTATTACGAGCTTTTACGTTAAATGAATATTTTTCTTCTCTTAGCCTGAAATTTGGAAATAATTGTTTTTATAATGAATACTTTTCAGACAAATATATACCTATTTCACATTTTTTACTTTATTTTATTTTCTTCAATTATTAAACTTAATTAAAAAATGGAAACATATTGTCAATTTTTCTTTACTTGTTCTTTAAAATGTTAAGTATGTGAGAGCGGCGAAACTTTTGTACGTATTTGTATATCATGAAAATGGTTTTATTTTATATAATTAATCGTATAACTTTTATTGACAGTAGTTTAATATGAATATTTTTGCAAATCTAAAAAATGTACCATTTTTTGCAGGAAGAGAATTCCATGTAAGTAAGAGAGAATTAAATTTAATTAAATGTAAGAGAGTTTTAAATTTAAAAAATTAAGACTCCTGATATAATAGTCATTTTTTGAAAGATATAGTCATTCTGATACTTCTGTCTCTGATTATTTATAAATGTTGAACGTAAGTGTTTCCTTTTGTTATTCATTGCTTTTTTATGTAAAAAATGTTGTATAAATTACAATTATAATATTTTTTTCCTTGAATATTTTTGTCCCGCTAGATTCGCAAATTGAATCACTGTGCGACGACTTAAACCTCTTAAATTTTGTTCTGGACAACATTTGTTAAAATAAAGGCCACTGAAAGTTGTTCCTCTTATTTTCATTTTTGTACTAAAAATTCATTCCTATGTAAAAACGAAAATAAGAGGAACAATCTTCAATAACCTTGATCTTAACAAATGTTACCCAGGTCATGATACTGAACAACATTAAAGAGGTTTTAGACGTCGATTAGACACCTTTGGTGATGCTAATGTCGGCGGTACTGTAATTTTCAAGCATCATAATTTAAAAAGTATACTTAATGAAAATGAACTTTATTGTGTTTTGAAAAGCTCTTGACACCAGCTATTAGATTCTGGAATAAAATAAGGTATTTTATTTTAAAAAATCGATGTGATCTTGATCTAATATTGACGACGTCATCTAAGATCAAACTGACAAGATCAGTAAATAGATCTTTTTAAATCCAACAACTTTGTCTGAAACATTTTTAATAAAAACATAATAAACCAATACTTTCTGAGATAATTAGTCATTCGGGGACTTTTGGATTTTACTGTATATATATATATATACAGTAAAATCCAAAAATTAATGATATCGTGAATAAACGTGCACGATATGTGATGTAGAGATCTGATCCGCGTGCGTGCGTGCGTGCGTGCGTACATGCTTCATTTGCCTCTCACGTGTGTGTGCGCGCGTGTTTGTGTGTGTGAGTGTGCGCGAGCGCGAACGCGTGTGCTATGTGGATGGATGTACCATAGAATTTATTTTTTAATTTTTTATCCTTTACTTTCTTCTCCGTAACTACCGTAGCGTTCCATTTATATCATTGGAATATGTTTTGACTAATACTTTATTTTCTCCCGCAATTATAAATCCATGATTCTTAAGAATTTGCGGAACAGACTGCGCAGTTTCAAATCTCTTATTAAATTTTCTTATCTTCTCATGATCAATTTTCTTAAAATAAAAAATCCTTATGTTCTTGAAATGTATTCTAGCCCAATTAAAAAGAATATGAGATGTTAATATTGCGTCCTGTGGCTTAGCAACAAGACTTAAAAACAAGAAAATGATCAAATTATAATTTGAAATTTTGTACGCAAATGTCTTGATAATCAATGGATATCGTATTAAAGAAGAATTGACTTCAACGTAATTCGTTTTGACAAGCGCGCGCGCGCACGCACGCACGCACGCGGATCAGACCTCTACATCACATATCGTACACGTTTATTTACGATATCATTAATTTTTCCAATACCTTTATTCATTTCAGTCGCCATTTTGGGTCCGCCATTTTGAATTTTCAAAAACCCCATATGGCATCGAAAAATAGACATTTCAAGGAAAATTTTAAGACAAAAAAAAATTTTATCTAAAAAATTGAAATGGACGGGGGGTGGCCGATTTAACAGAGAATGCCCCATATATACAGGGTGTTAGTTAAGTATGTTGCCATACTCAACAGAGTGATTCTTTGATTTATTTCAAGTAAAAAAGTCCATATAAGCATGTGTCCTAAACGGCTTGGTTTTCGAAATAAAAAAATTTAAACGTGTAGTAATAATCCGTTTATTTGAAAAAAATATAACTTGAACTAGTCAAAAACTAGTCAAAAAAACAGTAAGACAAAAACAGGCTTTAGTTCTTCTGACGAAATAAAACAATTAAATAAATTGTTGAAAATGTCCACCTTGCGTCATAATACATCCATCGAGCCTTCTTCTCAAAGATTGACGTACACGCTCAAAAATACCAGGTGTGTTACATATTGTCTCGCATGAAGCACTATTCGATTCCTCAAATCATTCTTATTCTCAATTGGGGTGGTATAAACCAATAATTTCAGATGCCCCCAAAGGAAATAATTCAAAGGATTTAAGTCTGGTGATCTAGGAGGCTTTGACTTTGACTTTGTCATTTTGTTTACGGTTGTGCGAATGGTAACTCACGTGAAGCAAGGCGTATTTATGCAGGAAGATCGCCAACGCAATTTACCGTTTCGTCAAACATTTGCGAATATTCACCTGTATTTCGGAAACTAAGCCGTTTAGGACACATGTTTATATGGACTTTTTTACTTGAAATAAACCAAAAAATCGCTCTATTGAGTATGGCAACATACTTAACTAACACCCTGTATGTATATATGTATATATACATATATACATACATACATACATACATACATACATACATACATGTACCCTGATGCAAATTCCCATGGGTTTTTTCATGGGTTCTTATAGATGACTATAAGATTCTACAGGAGCTTGTGTAGTTATCTATAGATATACGTAGGACATCTATAGGAATGCAATAGATTAGTATAGGTACCCACAGGAATGTGGACAGATGTCTCCATGAGAACTAAAAGGATGTATAGGATACTAGTTTGACGTATAGTAACATGTAAGCGTACGTAAGACAGTGGGGAGGTACCCCATGGAAGTGCCTATAGGCTACCATAGGATAATGATATATACACATTTTTGTCCTATATGCACCTACATGTTCCTATACGTCAAGATGCAGTATATCCTATAGATCTTTAATTCCCATAGGCATCTCTTCCGCATTCCTATGGGTACCTATACTAACTTGAGAGAATAATTCTATAGAAATAATTAAAAGTAGTTCAAACTGAATATAATTCCACATTATGAATTTAACAGAATGTTTTTATATATATTTTAGGTTAATATTTTTATGGTTTCCACGGGTGTTTTCTATATAAAGATTATGCGTTTGGCGGGTTTTCTCCGTGTCTAGATCCATTCTTGAAATTCCAACGTTTCGTACTAAATTTCCTATATCATCCTATAGGTATCTATTGTAAGAAATTTAGAGGAAATAGGCACAACAGAGAAGCTATCAGCGTCAGGGCTGTGTGGCTCAGTGGCAGAACGGAAGTCTACCAATTCGGAGGAAAGACCAGGCCTGAGTTCGAGACGAAGAACGCCCTGATATTTTTCTCTGTTGTCATCAATTGTTTACACTGTACAAGCTCCTACAGAGGCTGTTCCAAAATTTACTGTCAGCACTGAAAATCTATAGTGCACATAACGTAAACTATAGAATTTCAGTACTGGCAGCAAATTTTGGAACAGACCCAGAATCTTATAGTCCTCTATAGGAACCTATGAAAAAACCCATGGGAATTTACAGCAAGATAGGAACCTTCTCCCATGGGGACCTGTCGAATTTACCATGGGTACCTATGGTTAGGCAAACCCATAGGAAAATTCTCCATAGGAATTTGCAGCAGGGTATATACATATACATTTTTTGAATTACCGATTCTCCAGTTCTCGCAGACATATCATGATAAGGAAATCCGTTTTCCGCGGCGAATCGATGCGACCTGTCTCTCTTAACTGTTCTTTGATGTTCCATGTCACATTTATTACCTATTACCGCTATTAGAGGTATTTCATCGTAGGCTTCAATAAAACTTTTGATTTTGTTGAGCCACTCTTCCAAAATGTCGAAACTTGAGCTATTCGTAACGTCGTATACCAAAAGAATGATCTGATTCAGAAATATACATCCAGTTTGCAACAACATACAATCGTAGCGCACAAAAGACATGTCCATGGACGGCAACTATGGTGTGGAATCGTATGGAATATTACACACCCAAAATTTAGCTTATTATGAAAATCCATCCCTTGAAACTCAAGGAATCCAAGAATTGGGTTAAAAATCAACTGTGAATTTTGTGAATATTGTGCGACCAATATTCGTGATGACAGTATAATTGCGCGCATAACAGAGATTTAACTTATGGCGAATTCGATTGGAAGCACTAGTTCATATTAAAGCCATTGTACACTGATTTAATTTGAGTTTAAAAGTGAAATGCAAATATTTCGAATTATAAAATACATATTTTACCTAATAGTACAATAAAATGTATTGAGTATTTCAGGATTTAATCAGGATTTCTATGTTTATATATAAACATATCTTTACATTATTTTGTGTACGACGGCTTTAATGTGCATCAGTGCGCACTGATCGATCGTCCAATTGAATTCGCTATTAGGGCCGTAACCGTGTGCCGTATGTCGTAATCTGTAAGAATTGACTAACCACAGTCGAGCATTCCTCTCTTACAATTGAATGAGAGGGGAATACTCGACTGTGATTAGTCAATTCTTACAGATTACAGTTACGGCCAATATAAATGATCCCTTACCGACTGTTAGATAGAGCAATTTGCAATTGTAAAAAATGGGATGACAACAAGGAGCACAAAGTAAGTAAAAAGTAAAAAAAACGTCGTCACTTTGTATTCTCCTCCGTCTCTCCTTTCGTTAGTAAAAAAATCCATTCCCATAGGCGAGGTAAGTTGCCGCCCCTGGACATGTCAAAATTAAATTAATAAAAATAATTAAAATAAAATTAATTCAATGAAATTAAATAACGAAATAAAATTTTTATATTTTAGCAAAGTAAAGGCAGCAGCAAATTGGTCTTACGTGTGCTCCAAAAATGTAATTATCCAACATGTTGCCATGTAGAGCGAGTCCGCCAACGTCCCATAAATGTAGATTGACATTTTTGTAGCTGCCGATGCTGATGTTCTTAAGAAAGAAATCGATGCCTGCGGTGGGTATGTATTGCCTAGTGAAATCGTTGTTGCAAAACTTCTGAACGATGCTGGTCTAAAGAAGGATCCTTGAATTTCAATTATCAAGAATAACAGGCATCATAATAGTTATAACAATTATTATTTACAATCTACCCTAATTGCACACTTTATTCGAGGGACATTCTGGCAACGGTCTTAGGAAATACGGATATCCTTTGAATATTCTTTGGAACGTCTCTTGGAGATCTGTGCCATTACAGTATATAATATTGACAGCCGTACAATAATTACCAAACGACAAATGAAAATTATAAAGAATTATTAAAACAAAGAATTATTTGCTTGTTGTGTACCACAAACGATCATCGACCTGCTTAATTTTTATTATCACAGTTTATTTCTAACGTATTTATTATTCTTGAAAAATTTATAACAATTAAAGGTATCGCTACGTTGATAGAAGTGAAATAAGTAAAAAATTAGCATTTTTTAGATAATGAAATTTATCTTAAGGACTAATATATTTTTTGTGGAGAAACAACCTATTTGTATGTAAGCTTACTTGCTTACATGGAAAAGTATCACACTCTGATAAAAGATTAAATTTACTGTTTATATATATATATATATATTAGAATTGCAATATTCAAATCTTGAAAATTCATAACATCCCTAGTGAAAATTTTTCTAATATTTTTATGCTAAAAAATTGGAACATTTCAGAAATACTCAGAAATATTCGAAAAATTTACATCTTCTCTCAGAATTTTACATACATGTGAATTCCGAAATATTCTGAGATTTCTTATCCTATAATTTAAAAAAAATATTAAAAAATTTTTTAGATTTTATAACATTTCATCAGAAATTATACTTACAAAAAATCTTAGAAATCTTTTATATTTCATAATTAACATAGATGGAAAATTCTAAGATGTAGATTTTCTGAGAAATATTCCAATTCGTATAAAAAATGTGAGAAAGTTATAAAATTATATTAAAAAATTCTAAAAAATTACATGAATAATTTTAAGAAAAATTTTCACCAGGGATGGTTTATTTTAAAGAATACATTATAATTGAAAATATAACTCAGATAGAAAGTGAAATTGTAAACATTGCATATTTACCGTCCTAATAAAACGTTGTTCCAATTCAGAATTAAAAAATGCCGTACTAACAAAAAAGTTATTAATTTTGAGAAAAGTACATATATTTGAATGTAGGGAAGGGGTAGAATTATGTGTGTATTGGTATTATAGCACTATAGGTAAGCATGATCACCCTTTATATTTCTGCAACGTTTGGTACTAGTAATGCCAATTGTTATAAAAAGATGCATCTGTCTGCGCGACATTTCAATATGCTGCGAAGTTTGAACTAAATTTATGTACAGTCTGTTCAATAAGAAAGTGTCTGCCATAATAAAAAAAATATAAAAATTTAGACTAATTTTTTTTTTATTGAAGTACTCATTATTAGCTACTGCGCAATTATCTAATATCGTGTCCAATCACCTCCATTACTGATTATTGCTTGACACCTTTT